ATCTCATTAAGATGAATGGCCATTTCACACTTCTGTGAGGTAGATGGATGTGCAGAGCCCATTCTTCCTACAGTAGGCCCAGATTTTGGACAGGGTCTCTGAACTCTGCCCTTTCCTGCCTCCAGCTAGTACATGCATTTCTCAGAGTCCCACCACTTTCCCTACTATTGTCCCTCCAAGCTTTCCAGGAGCATGGAGTTGCAAAGAGGAGGATGGAACTGGTGTGTGGATGGGGGGGGGGGGGGGGACGGGACTCAAAGCAGCAGGAATGTGAGGGGGCAGGTTTCAAGCACTGGAGTGTGTGTCTAGGGAGTGTGAAGCAATTGGCATGATGGAGTGAAAGTTGGAGCAGTTGTAGTGGAATCTGAGTAGTTGGTGTACTATGGCATGGGAGATGGGTGCACTGAGGGTGCTATTGGAACAGTGCACAGCAGAGAGGGTTGGAGAGAAAGGGGTCAGAGCTATATAATGAGAGGCTTCTGTTCCAATCCCCCCCCCCCAACCCCCAAATCCAACAATTAACTTTTTATTTCCTGGTTTTCAGAAGTTTAAATATAGTCCCTTCTCCACATTCTGTAAAGGCACACAGCACTACAGGGGAACCTTAACTCTGCACCAGCTAAGTTTTTGGGCACTTAAGTCTAAATGACTGAAGTAGCATTTAGCAAATTCTGAAACCATTACTTAGACATCTGACCAATGTAACAGCCTTTAGATTTTCAAAACACTGCACAAACGTTACCCTACTTTGATTTTGGCCACAAGAGACCTCCCAAAATATATAATACATTTCATTTTAATAATAAGGCATAGGTTCTTTGCATTGCCATACCCTTCCAGAGGGACTCCTCCAATTCCTAGCTAACCCAGTAGAAACCTGAGCCTTCAGCCTTTATATTACCATTGATGCAAAAAAAATCTTTGGCCCTCAGTGTATATTAGATAACCTATAGTCAAGTTATACATACTTTCTAAAGAAAATTATTTGGTCCAAATGTAAACACCATTTCTGTGAAGTGAGCCAGCCAAATTTCCAAACCTTTGCTTTGTTCAAGTGTCAACCATCTTACTTACAGACACAACCAAAACTCAGCTAACCATTTGTAGGAGCTGACGGCATTAGATTTCTGTGGGGCTGGTGGATTGGATATTGGTTGATACCAAATGAACAAATGTGATTACTGCACAATCTAACAGCTCTCTCTGAAAGAGTTTCTGTTGAACTTCCAAATCAGGAACAGCGTTATTTAGGTGTACCAAAATAGTACACTCTACCATTACAGGACTGTGCAGATGCACACACAAGCAACATAGGCAGGGGCACCATTTAGGGAGAGTGGGGGGCACCCCTCCCCCAAGTTTCGTACAAGAGATCTGCTCAAAGCACACATCCCAGTCCCAGGTGGAGCTCTTAGCTGTAGCCCCATGAAGCCAGGTCCCCTCCTCCAGGAGCCAGTATTCTCCTGGTCAGTTTCTTCCACTATGCTAGCTCACCCATCCCACTGCCTCATCTGCCTCCACCAATCAGCAGCTGAGATTATACGGAGTGACAATCCTCCTAACCAACAGTAGCGAGGCAGTGAGCATGGCTTCTGGGGGTAGGGCAGGCAAGGAAGGGGTCAGTCAAGGTGGAGGGGAGCACGGGTTCCACAGTGGTGGTGGGGGAGCATAGGATACCCTGTAGTGAGGATGGGGAAGCATAGGGTCCCCCGTGGTGGTGGTGGGAAGGACAGGGCCCCCACTGGCAGAGGGGAGGCAGTGGGATGGGAAAGGGGAGTCAATCTCCAGGGGAAGGGAGAAGTGAGGACATAGGGCTGTGCCCTGAGGGAGGGGTCAGTGAGTGTGGAAGGAGCAGCTGAGGGAGGGGGAGCTGAAGAAAGGTGTGGGGGGGCTAGGAGCAGCTAAGTGGGTCTTGGGTCCCGTTTGCCCTCAGAGAAGCATGGAGCACCCTCAGCTCTCTCTGGGAAGAGACCAGGGACAGACCCTTCTGGTCCTGAGCTGTTACGTCCATTAGTGGTTGCAACTTCAAGGACAGCTGTGTGTCTGTGTTGTGCTGCAAACCCTGCCAGCAGGTGTTGAGCACAGGGGGATGATGGCTGTGCTGCTGGCCAACACCGAGATCGACCTGTACTCCATCAACATCCCACCCCCTAGGTAAGTCCCCTTTAACTACTACCAGTGGGCATCTCAACAGCTGACTAATGTTACAGTAGCACCCAAAGACCTTAATCAGTAGAGTCCCCCGTTGTGCTAAGCACAAACCATTAAGAAGGCCCAGTTTCTGCCCCACAGATCTCTATCTAATCCTTATAATTCCTATGGAAGGCAGGAAAGTATTATTATTCCCATTTTACAGCAATGGGAACTGAGGCACAGTGTCCAAACACAGAATAGTACTTTCAAAAACATATATACAAATTCTAAATAATAAACAAGACTTAATTTTTTTCTCAACTTTAAAATGTGGAATTTTCTTGGCTTTGATTTTAAATATTCTCCTGTGAGAACTGCAATTCAAATCACTGTAGTGTTGTGTTTAAGACCCTTATGGAAAGTGACTTGAAAGTGTCAGTTTCTACCCTATTATTATTTGTAGTAGGGTAACACCACTAGAGCCCTAGGCAGGTGCAGTATAAACTCACGGGGTCTTGCCCTAGTAGGATGTTTCCAAAAGTTAAATGTTCAAAAGTCCAAGCTTGGTGAACTTCAAAAAGTAAGTAACCTAAATGATAGGAAGTAATCTAGATTTTTCTACAGTTGTTTCAATTGTTGTATTCAAGAATTAGTAAAGTAAGAATATACATTAAAATTTTAAACCTAACCAATGTCCCTTAAGTGACTTGACACAGGATGTCAGAATATGTTAGTATTTAAGCTGTGTGGGTCTAACATTTATTTAATTTTCTTTCTTTATATGGGAATTAGATACAGTGCTCTTGTCAGCTAATTTCTAAATTATCTGCAAAAAAGCTAGAGTTCTCAGGTTCCTAAGTAACCCCTGGAGTCACAGTTAAAGTTGCCCTATCCCCCACCAAAATCTGAAATGGCGCCCATGAACACAGAAATATGGTACACCAAAAGCAATCTGAGTTAGTGAAAAGACCGTATATCACTCAACATCAGAAGAAGTGAGCAGCAGGAAAATTCCTTCTAAAACACGTGTTCTGGTTTGCGGGAGTGGAAGCTGTCACAGAGTGACTGGCCCTTTAAGGGCTGATGGGTCCAACCCCACCTGTGACACCAAGCTCACCTCCCCAAGTGAAGAAAATAAACAAAGTCACATGACAGGCAGGTCATGCAGCTAAAATCATGCCTTCTGATATGGAGATAAAACCAGAAGCCTTGAGAGAGCCAAGAGAGACTATGAAGCAGGAAAAGAACCTGACTACTGGTGAGCTGGAGAAGCTGGTTTGAGCCATGGCACAGCCACAGGAAGGACGGTTGTGAAATCCTTAACCAGAGGTAAGTGTTTGGTCCTGAGAGGCCAAAGGATACTTTATCAAGGCTTAATATCGATTTACTTACTTTAAATACTCTGGGTTGTGAACAAGCTGTCTGGAAGAAGAAAGAGGGAAATGAGAATGGCATGCTTTGGACTTCAGTGGCCTCACAGGCTGGGCTTAAGCTGACAGATGAGCAAGAGCATTAAGACACCATTGAACTCCAAAAAAATAAACAGCAAAAAACAGAATACACCAAAGCCTGAGTTCTCTCACTGGAAATATTTGCTTATTGCCTGGAAACATTTCTGAAACTTCAACATTGGAAGGATGGATAAAATTATCTTCTCCCCAACAAAAAATGCAAGAGAAAACTCCGTGATATGTTTTATTGATTACCTTTTATGACACTTCAATATGGGTTTAATTTCCAAAATACAAGATTGGCATGACACTTTCCAGTAATCAGAACAGGTATACCTGTGTGTTGTGGCAATGTTTAATTGAAATATGCCTAACAAAATTCTCAAACTTCCTGTAATGCAATTTTAATTAAATTTCTCAAGAGAAAGTTCTTAAGGGTACAAAACATACCAAATGATTTCACAGTTATTTTAATAATTTATATTGGTTGATATGTTCTTATACTAACTCTTGCTAATTCTGTTGGGGGGAAAGCTGCAGCAGCCACCATACTGTTTGTGTCCTGTTCAGAGGTTCAATTCTGTATGGCTACTTCAGAATGATGCTGGAGACTCAGGGTATGTCTACACTTACCCGCTGGTTCGGCGGCAAGCAATCGATCTTCTGGGATCGATTTATCGCGTCTTGTCTGGACGCGATAAATCGAACCCAGAAGTGCTCGCCGTTGACTCCAGGAATCCTGCTCGGCGAGAGGAGTACGCGGAGTCGACGGGGGAGCCTGCCTGCTGCGTGTGGACCGCGGTAAGTTCGAACTAAGGTACGTCGACTTCAGCTACGTTATTCACGTAGCTGAAGTTGCGTACCTTAGTTCAAATTGGGGGGTTAGTGTAGACCAGGCCTCAGAGTGCTGGGAGCCAGCACAGTGCAGTTGGGAGGTTCAGAAAATTAAGGGACAAGTGCTAAATAAGTTCTACTATAGATGGGCAAATGAGGAATTTGGGCAAAGGGTGGCAAAAGGCACTACTCTGACCCTCAGCCACATTTTAAATTCTTGCTCTGAACCATGGAGAGACAGGCTAAAGCTGTTCAAAAAGAGCTGTTAAAACTTTAAACCTTGACAAGATTTCCTATTTTTCCACTAGCCTTGTTCTTGAAGGACAGCTCCAATATTTTTGATCAACCTTTCAAAGAAAATTTGACTTGAGGCAGAGACCAAGCACAGAAAACTTTAGCTTAAATGGTTAAGGTTTGCCAAAGTTATAAGCAAATGAGAACAGGAGGTTACAAAGGGAAGCCATAGGCACCCATAACATAAGGCTTGCTATTGGTCCCCTTAAGAGACACACACACACACACACACACACACACACACACACACAGAACACAACCACATTTACATAAAAGAATTCCGTGTACCTGTCTGAAACAATGTGGAGGAGCAGCTAGCGATCCAGTCTCTTTCAAGTAATTATCCCACTTAAAGTGTTCTAGAAGAGATAAAAAGAAAAAAGTTAGACAACTCTTAAGGGAATGTATTGAGCAAACTTTTAGGGGGAAACAGCTGTTTAGGTGAACTCTAATTCTAGCCTTTTTAAAATAAGTTCTAAAAAGTGAATTCCTCTTGTGTGAAAGATACAAGACTGACAGCCTTTGAGAGACTTTAAAAACTTCGTTAATCCATAGGAAAGACACACCACAAACGGATTCAGTACACAGCTTCAACATAAAGAACAGGAGTACTTGTGGCACCTTAGAGACTAACAAATTTAGTTGAGCATAAGTTGTAGCCCACGAAAGTACTCCTGTCCTTTTTGCGGATACAGACTAACACAGCTGCTACTCTGAAACCAGCTTCAACATATTTCATCAGTAGTGAGGAAGGATGGTCCAGTGGTTAGGATGCTAGGCTGGGAATCACTAGAGCGGGATTCGATGTGCTGCTCCACCAGAGACTTCTTGTGTGACCTTGTGCAAGCCTTTGTGCCTCAGTTCCACATCTGTAAAACGAGAATAGTAGCATGTCCTATGCTGGAGGAGTGAGGATAAATATGTTAAAGATTGTGAGACAGTCATATTCTATAGTCATATACTCTATATCCAGGACCATGTAAGCACTTTTAATAAAGAGTGTGCACATCAAGACGACGACTTGTGCAGTAGAATCAACTAGTACCTTGACCCCAGTACAAACCAGAACGGGTTTGGTGTTTAGTGCAATCTGTGAACATGACCCTAGCGCCACAACTAGAATCCATGAATTTCTGGTTCCCTGTCCTACATTTGATCTAGACGAGGCTGCCTTTCCAACCAAATATGCAAATATTTTGCCTTAACACTTAGCAACAGAATCAAATGACACTTCATACATCACCAGGCTTTGCAAATTCTTCACTAATTTTTAGACTGCTGTTCAAAGGGCTAGAAAAATGTAGTTATATGAGTTAATCAATCAATATGAAATACTATATGGCCAATGATCCAAATAAGCATGGCTTAAGTGGATACAAGTCACAAAAAAACACGAGAACTAAAATAGTACAGCGCACATTTTGCTTCTACAGTGAAATTGTCTACAATCTTTAAGTTGATGTATCTAAAAACAGGAAAGAGAAGCAACAGTCATCTTGTCCATCACCTCTTCACAAAGTTTAAATGAGAACATAAATGGTGTAATGGTGCCACCTAGTGGCTCAATAAACAATAGCTATCAAAGTGTTTGCATCAAAAAAAAAAAAAAAAATCGTAGTTTTAGACAGATAGTAAAATCAAATCAAATTGTCTTCTGGGAACTGGCATCAATGAAGTTATTTGGCTACATTTATAACTAAACATTAAACACACAGCTCCAATTAAAGAAGGAAAACAGAAAAATATCCCAAAACCAATCCTTTTCCTAAGCAACAAAACACACAAATGACAAAAAAATTTTCAGTGTTGCCCTGAAAGATACCAGTGATGTTCATCAATGACTGTCCCATGGGAGAATATTCCAGAAGCACTAGCCTTTGATAGGAAAGGCCTTGGCTAATATCCTCAAGATATTATCTCTGCATAGTCAGCATTTCCCAAATGATCACAGCTATAGTAGCTGTAAATTGATGGGATGACTCAGAAGCAAAATGAGGGAGCCAAGAAAGGTCTTTTCCTCAGAGGATCATGTTTACAGTAAGTAAACAAAATAAGGAAGAGCGCTTTCACTGGCCATTGAGGAAGTCTGCAGTTTCATTCACCTGCAGATCATTTACCTGAATAGCTGGATTTATCTATAAACTCCTTTCCTCACAGTCTGAAGTTGGCATTAGGTTTCCTTCATTTGTGAGCATAGATCAAAACTGAGGTAAATTAAAGCTAAACTCGTTCACAACTAATACTTAATACTGTGCAATTTATTTCATGAAGAGAATATGAAGCGGCAGAAAGGGGACGTATGTGTCTACGGCAACAGTCACATGAGAAAATAATGCTCTTAACAAAAAAAAGCTTCTCTATATCCAGTGAAAGATCATTTGTAGATAAAAAACTAATGCTATTTTCTGAAAATATATACCAATCTGAGGCTCTAGTATTGGAGAGAATTTTAGGAATGGAGGTAGAATAAAACCTCAACCTACAGGAAAATTAGCTCACAACAAACAATTTAATATAAAATTTTTTTCTTCTATATTACCCCAATTCAAGATACAGGTAATTTTATGCTGAATTATCAGAGACAGTAAGAAAACAAATGTAGTGTACTACCGATTTGGCCAGTACTGCTAATACTATCCTTTCAAAGGTTTAGACCAGGGGTGGGGAACCTTTTTTCTATCAGGGGCCATTGACACACACAAAAAATCAGTTGCAGGCCACAAATAGCCCCGCAGGGAGGTGTGGAGGCTCGGGGCTTTCCCTAAGCGGAGCGAGCCAGTGCTCCTGGCTCTAGCCCTGCAGGGGGAGGGGGAGGCTCAGGGCTTCCCTCGGCTCTGGGATGGGGCCAGAAATGAGGGGTTCAGGGTGTGGGAGGGGGCTCCAGCCTGGAGCAGGGCGTTGGGATGCGGAAGTGGGTGAGGGTTCCAGCTGGGGGTGCAGGCTCTGGGCTGGCTGGGGATGAGGAGTTTCGGGTACAGGAGGGGGCTCCGGGCTGTGGCCAAGGGATCTGGAGTGCGGGAGGGGGCTCAGGGCTAGGGCAGGGGGTTGAGACGCGGGTGGGGGTGCGGGGTCTGGGAGGGAGTTTGGGTGCGGGGTGGTGCTGGGGTGTGGGGTCTGGGAGGGAGTTAGGGTGCGGCAGGCTCTGGCCAGCTTTCAGTTGGCGGTGCAGTGGCTCCTCGCTGCACTTGGAAGCAGCCGGCATGTCCGGCCCCTAGGCGGAGTCACAGCCAGGGGGCTCTGCGCAGTGTGTGCTGCCCATGCCCCCAGGCGCTGCCCCCACAGCTTCCATTGGCCGCGGTTCCCAGCCAATGGGAGCTGCAGAGCCAGCGCTGGGGTCAGCACATGGAGCTTCCTGATTGTCCCTCCATCTGGACGCTGCGGGCGGGGGCGCCGCGGCTCGGGGCTTCCGGCCTGCGGCATGGAGACTTGTCGCTGACCGGATTAAATTAAGCAGTGGGCCGGATCCAGCCCGCAGGCCAGAGGTTCCCCACCCCTGGTTTATACAGACTGGTTTTTAGAACTGGCAGCCATGTTGAAGTTTTGTCTTCTGTTTTATTTCAGTTATTGAACTCTTGGCCATAGACTGAACTGTGAACGTTCGTGCACTGCAGTTAGTCAGCAATAGCATCATTGGTAGCCCGTTATCAATACTGCAATCAATGGATTAGGCAATATCATCCCCTCATGATTGTCCTGCTCGTCTGAAAAAACTACACAAACTGGATATCTCCAATGACAATGTTTATTACAGGTATTCTCAAACTGGGGGTCATGACCCCTCAGGGGGTCACAAGATTATTACATACAAACCCCACTTTGCCTCCAGCATTTATAATAGTGCTAAATAGAAAAAAGTGTCAGCAATTGTGCCAACTACAGAGGAATCACACTTCTGTCGGTGCCAGGGAAGGTCTTCAACCGAGTCCTCTTAGAGAGAATGAAGGATGCCGTCGATCCACAGCTACGAGATGAGCAAGCAGGTTTCCGGCAAAATAGATCATGCGCGGACCAGATAGCAACACTCCGCATCATAGTCGAGCAGTCTATGGAGTGGAACTCCTCGTTGTACATCAATTTTGTTGACTATGAGAAAGCATTCGATAGCGTGGATCGAGAGACTCTCTGGAAGCTCCTTCGGCACTATGGCATCCCAGCAAAGGTGGTCAACCTGATTAAGAACTTATATGACGGCACACACTGTAGAGTGATCCATGGAGGGCAGCTTACAAACAGCTTCCAGGTGCGAACCGGAGTCAGACAAGGATGCTTGTTGTCACCATTTTTCTTTCTCCTTGTCATTGATTGGATTATGAAGACATCCACTTATGAGCGTAGGAATTGAATCCAGTGGACGTTGTGGACCCAGCTTGATGACCTGGACTTTGCCGATGACCTTGCACTCCTTTTGCATAGCAAACAGCAGATGCAAGAGAAGACCAACGTAGTGGCAGCCACGTCATCACAGGTTGGCCTCAACATCCACAAGGACAAGACCAAGATCCTCAAGATTAACTCCATCAGTACTGACCCAGTCACACTGAAAAGAAGCCCTCTGGAAGAAGTGCAGTCCTTCACCTACCTAGGCAGCATCATCGACCAACAGGGTGGCACGGACGCAGACATCAAAGCAAGGATCGGTAAGGCAAGAGCAGCTTTCTTACAGCTCAAGAACATCTGGAGCTCTAGAGAGCTGTCTTTGGCAACAAAGATTAGACTGTTCAACTCCAACGTGAAATCAGTCTTATTGTATGGAGCTGAAACCTGGAGGATAACTAAAACAACCACCAGGAAGATCCAGACCTTCATAAATAGTTGCCTTAGAAGGATTCTCCAGATCTGCTGGCCAGACACCATCAGCAACATCTATCTCTTGGAGAGGACTCGTCAACTTCCAGCAGAGGAAGAAATTAGAAGGAGAAGGTGGGGTTGGATAGGACACACACTACGCAAGCAGCCAACCAACATCACTAGACAGGCATTGCGGTGGAACCCCCAAGGCAAGCGGAAAAGAGGCCGTCCAAGAAACACCTGGCGACGCGACCTTCAGGCTGATAGCATAAAAATGGGCTATACCTGGAACCAGCTAGAGCAAATGGCCCAGGATAAAGGACTCTGGAGATCTGTGGTTGGCGGCCCATACCCTGATTGGGGTGACGGGCATGAGTGAGTGTTCTCAAACTGGGGGTCATGACCCCTCAGGGGGTCACAAGATTATTACATACAAACCCCACTTTGCCTCCAGCATTTATAATAGTGCTAAATAGAAAAAAGTGTCGCACTCAGAGGCTTGCTGTGTGAAAGGGGTCACCAGTACAAAAGTTTGAAAACCACTGGTTTATTATAAAAGACGGTTACTCAC